GTGTGTGTGTGTGTGTGTGTGTGTGTGTGTGTGTGTGTGTGTACAGACATATTGGAAAAGAGCAAGGAAGCAAGATGGAGAAAATCAATACATTTTTTAAGGGGTCAACAAACCCGATGAACCTTAAATGAATTGATTCCACTTAGAAGTGTTGTCTTCATACCAAAAGGCTGATTTTGAGCTATATTGATTTTTAGAAACCAAAATGCATCCAAAGATGTAAAAAGTCAGCCGCAGGTTAACACTATTATTTCCCCCAGTTCTTATAATGATTTTAACCAGTTGATTAAGAAAAATATTATACCTTTAATGAATAAAACTTTATGCTTGCTATACCCATTTATTCACTGTTTTAATAAGTTTGAGGCTTCGAGACACAGACAGGGTAGTATAGTAGTGTTGCTTTGTATTGAGAGATGGACCACCTCTTTTTTCATGTGATTTTTTGACAATAAAAAAAGGTAAAGAAAAATAGAATAATACCAAATGTATTTTTCAAAATGTGCTGCTTACTTACAGTTTTACTTCCAAAATATATTCAGTCTTCACAATTCCAATTGTTCTACCCTTCTTTTTCCACTTGTCTTGAATAGACTTTATATCATTTAGTGTAATTTGAGGGGAGTTGAGGATAAGTTAGAAGTGGCTAATTTGAGGACTGGCTTTTTAATTAAAAAAGGAATTATCCTCCTTTAGCCTTTTCGTTTTATTCCTCTTACTCCTTCTTTGTCTTTTCCCCCAGCCGTTGGGAACTTCTTTGGTTACAGCTGTGTGCCGGGTGTTAAGGATGTGCAGCACGACCCCAAAGGAAACAACCCCAAGAACCTGTGCGAGGCCTGCATCGGAGACGACAACGACCGACACATCTGTGCAAACAACCCCCGAGAGAGACACTACGGAGAGTCCGGGGCGCTGAGGTAACACACCGATACACAAATATTAAAAAATTACACATCTAATGTAAATAGACGGCTTCAAAACATAACCACAACAGCAAAAATAAAAACTCAATCCAATACAAATTCCAACAGAATCAATCAAATGGCAATTAAATAGAAGCATTATACATTTAAAAAAAAAAAGAAATTATTCAAGTAAAATCTAATATAATTGTGTATGAGATATACACAGTAAAGGAAAACTGCCCTTAAAAAAAGTTCTGTTTTAATTGGCACCCAAAGGTATAGTAATTGTTATGACCTCTGTCTCTGTGTCCCCCCAACTTTATTTCTAGTGGCATACTGTCTCCATAATGTAAAAATAGTAATTAAAGCAGCTTGTTTCATTGTAGCATACAGAGTAAAATAAATGAATGAAACAGTGTGTGTTTAAAGGTCTGTAGAAGTTATGAGTAACA